CTCTCTCTCTCTCTCTCTCTCAGTCCGGTCCAAGCTGATGGAATTTCGAGCCGCTTCTCGTGTAAGCTCGGGCCCGGTCACACTCTCCAACTCTGCAACTCTTCGCTTGAGGCGCTGCTTCGATAGCGCCAGCAATTAAAATGTCAAAGAATTGCTCTCGCCTGACCTATTTCGCTGTTGCATGGGCCTTGAGAAGATCTCTCAAGTTCAACAGCGGGCGCTTTACTGCAACTTCGCGATCAGGCGAACAGGTGTGAGAATCAATAGCACATGCCTGCGGTCCCTCTTGAGTGTGTGGCTCCACATCTGCCAGAATCAAGTCGAAGTTGCTCGCGGTCCTGATCGGAACAACACGACGAGTGCCACGTCACCATGGACCGGTTTCTAGCACAACCTTGCAGCATTGTCAAGGACACGTCTCGCACATACTCCTAGCAAGCCCCAGCGTCTTGAAAACGCTGTCGTAGCGCTCGGCAATTTGACTGGAAACAAACGTCCTGGGTGCGACTGCGAGAGACGCCGCTTGGGATTTCCGTGCAAGCTGTCATTGCGTATGATCAATCTGTCGTCGCACTTGCCAGTCTTTTCTACAATTCTCAGACTGATCACGCATGCAGTAGTGACTTTGCAGAAGGCCATACAGCTCTCCAGTCAGGGCAAACGTTTGGAAGCTTGGGGCATCGCGAGAACTGCGCTGACAACTTAGAGACCAAGACTCCGATTCGACCGGCCCGGAACATGCAACAGTATCTCTGGCCCAAGGAGCTTGATCTGGGAACCCGGGTTCTGCCCCGTCCGGATACCGCTGTCCCAAGCCGCCTTATTGCCTTGGTCACTCAAAAAACAAAAACATCGTAAACTGTTGCTTCCAGCATTGTGGAAACAAGCAAGCTAAAATGTCGAAGGCTGTCATGGAAACCCGAGATCTGAAATTGTGTACTGCGCCAGCTCTGCGAAGCTAATCCGAGCTGCTAGGACTCCAGGTAATCACTGAAGGGCCGATGTCGGCAAACTCTTGTGCCGGAGACCACCAATAGGAGGTCACGCGATAGTTGCGTGGCAGGTTGACCTTTGGGCGACTTGCCGGGTAAAAGGCGACTCCCGACCGCTAACTGTGCCAAGATCATGTCGGCTGCCGGGGCTTGCCGGTCTTGGCTCCCGGCGTAGTTGGTCCAGCTTGATGCTTCACCGTATGCAATTGCCTTGGATCTGAGGCCAGACAGTGACCGGCAACAAGCTGGAGGCTGAGCCTTAAACTCGGTAAGCTCAAACTGGAAGGTTGGAACGGATGAAACGAAGAACGCTCAGCTTTTGCTGCTACTTCTCGGCCGTCTTGATCAAGGGCGCGATCACGATTTTGTACTGTTGGGTCAGAAGCTGAGCAGTCACCGACGCTTACGAAAACTCTCGGAGCTGCCGTGTTGAACGCGAAGATCTTCTGAATGGTTGAGCCCTTGGCAAGCCGCCATGCAGCAAACATGTTCAGTCGGTAACCGTGTAAGCGAGACCTTTGGCATAGAAGCCCGAAGGCTTCCAGCTTTGCTGGAACACTAGGCTTCTAAGCTTTGTCCAAGTGTCGAACTGCCAACCATAGGCACTCAAGTATGGGGCGCAGTGATCAGGGTTGAAGCCTCGCCACTGCTTCGAATCATTGGAAAGTTCGGGGCGCAGCACGGGGTTCAACAATGACAGTGGTCCTGATGTTCCACAATGATGGGGGAGAGGCCTGAGCCACCTCATGGACCAGTCCTACGCAGTCACTGACTGTTGTAACCCGGATGGCCCTGCATACAAGAGAGAAACAAAGCCGGATTTAGCACGTTGATACTCGCTGCCTATCACTACGAGGCCAAGGCGGCCTCGAATGCGCAATGAAGCAACTGCCAAGCAATCCCTTTGTTCCAACCTGACCCGACCAGTGTCTGGTGTAGCTTAAAGCCAATCCCACACCGGCAAGTTGCAACTGCCGTTGTCGGGAGCTCAACAACTTGGAGAGGAGCTACACACCGACGACAGCTGCAAGGAGGCCCGAGAAGTGCGTGAGGTGCTGTTGAAGGAGAGCAGAACGAAGGCTGAAGGAGGAGAGAGAATGAGAAGCAAAGGGATAAAAGGGCAAATGAATGTAGGAGGCGGAGGTGCTTGAACTCCCATGAGGCATGTGCCCGTCTTCCCCAACGGCGCTTGTCTACACAGGCACAAATGGCTCACGACTCCCTCACAAGAGTCCCATGACATGGCCCATGGCCCTCATGGCCTGCCACTCGGCAGCCAGGTCCAAGCACCTGTTTTAGTCATGGTCCGGAACTTGTGCCCCCTGGTGATTCCTTCGCCCCATGTTTGATGATGGAAATGACCAAAAGAAAGCCGAAGCTCGAAGCCCTAAAGTTTAAGTAGCGAATCGAATTTCGGAATGGCAGGTCGCTACACCCACATTAGCAACATTTCTTCTATCATATCATCTCCGGACAGTGCCAGGTCCTGCGGTTTGCGCAAAGCTCGAAGAAACGCTTGCAAAGGAGACGGAAATGATCTCTTCCAGGCTTCCAACGTGCGCTCCAAGGCACCCACTTGTTGTTGTAGCACCCAAACTTGCTGTCAACGATCGCGCTCTGTGGCACATGCGGGCATCTCTCGCTCACAATCGCTCCCACTCTCGTTGTACGAAGTCGCGCTTTATCTCTTTCCTCCCTCTTTTGCTACCCCTTGGCGCCAGCCTAACCCATATGCACGCAATCTCGAACTCACCCACCCACCCACCCACGGTGACCTGCCAAACAAACGCGGAGTGTTAGACAATGCACCTTCATATCCTGCACTGCAGATGAAACATGCGCCCGAGCACACTCTGCCCCTTAATCCACGGCTGGATCTGGCTGCTGGTTGCAGATGCGGAGAACACTTCGTGAATTATAGTGCGGCCACGTTAGTTAACAGCGGCCTGTCTGTTGAAGACAGCCGGTATGGTTGCACCTCTTGCACGCGCACTGAGTGATGGATACTGTGGCACAAGGGGCGCACTCGAGAATGGACACCGCTAACGCGGCTTTGACACAAGCAGCATCCATGAACTGGGATGGACGACTCGATGATTGACAATGTGGTCTCTGCATGCAAAAGCAGGCCGTTATGGTTTGGCACGGATACTCTGGTAGCTTTCAGTGTGGAAAGGACGGCCTTTTCGAAAGATCCGCACCGGGCGTGTCCCATGTCCAGCAACTGAGAAAGCTAAACCAAAATTCCATGCCCTGTTTGGCTGCATCCCTGTCCCATAGTTCCATAGTGCGCGGGAACCTAAGTCACGATACGTGTCGATCCTCCCCGGTCCAACCACAAGCTCCAAGGGGATCAATGTGGAGTTCGTGTCAACGGGCTCGCACGGTGGCGGTATTGGAGTCTGGGAGGAGTCCGATCTCTTGATTCACGGTCCGGGCAGTGTGGCTTTAGGTGCCCTCCCCCACACAGCCCCTTCCCTTCATCTACTAGGCCGTGGAAGCAGAAGGGGTGGGCCAACATCAGCCCCGTTACCCTCTCGCCCCCTGTTACGGCGGTAGCCCTGGTGCACGATCGCTAAGGTTGCTAAGGCTGACTTGTACTATGTAGTTCTCCGACACTCAACCTCTGAACCTGTTGGGCTCCTTTAACTTTGGACTCGCAGGCGTGCCACTTCTTTCTCCCTCTCGCTCTCACTCTCCTCATCCTCCTCCCCTTCTTCTGCTCCTGCATGTTCCTAGTATCGGGCATCAGGTGTCAGTCAACCCCATGTGCGGACACATGTTTGTTGGCTTCTTGAGCGAGCGCGGAACATGTTTCTTCCCCAGACCGGCTTTCCTTAACGAAGTCAACATGGTCCAAAATCTAGTGTACAATGTGTGCTCGCCCGCAGCGATGGCATGCAAGATCACGTGCCCCCCCATGTCCAAGACACAACACTCCGACAGCTACTACTAACATTCCAACGTGAGTTGTCGGGGCCATCTCTGCCTGCCTCTCTCTCTCTCTCGCTCTCTTTCTTCGCCGTCTTCTTCAATCTGTCCTGAAGCGGGCGTTGTCTCTCTTTGATGTATCTATCTACGTGTCTATGTATCTACCCGTCTCCATGCCTATCTATCATTCTACCAGGCTACCTGCTACTTCTCTTTCTATCCCTCCATCTATTCCCCTGCCTGCCTGTCGATCTGTCCATCCACCTATCTAAATGTAACTGCCCGTCGATTGACCCATCCATCCATCCATCAATCCATCTAGCAAGCGAGACAAACTAGCTATAACCTAGCGATCATTCAATCAACCAACCAACCAACCAAGCAAGCAACGAATCGGCCAATCAATCAACCACCCAACCAACGAATGAATGATTGATTCTATCTATCTATCTATCTATCTATCTATCTATCCATGCATCTAGATGTGTACATATATGTATATGTATATTTTTTGCGTATACCTACCTACCAACCTACCAACCTACCTACCTACCCACCCACCCACCCACCCACCCACCTGCCTACCTACCTGCCTACCCACCTACCTGCCTACCTCTCTGTCTGTCGGTCTGTCTGGCTCTCTCCCTCTCTCTCGCTCGCTCCATCTATTCGCCTGCCTGCCTATCAATCTGTCTATCTAACTAACGACTATCTACAGTGCAATCACTGTACAAGAACTGGTTGGATAAAATATTTAGGGGCTACATCAGCCGGACAGCATCCAAAAAGCCGAAAAGCTGAAATATCTTCTAGCTAACAGATGAAGGGTACCAACGTGTTCGGGTCATTTCTTATCCGGCTGGGTGGTCCCAATCTGAAATGTACCTCTTATAAGCAGAAGTTGATGACAACAAATCAGCCCCTGCCGTGCCATGCCTTTAAAGCTATTGTAGTGTGCGGCTAAGTGCTGGTAGCTGCATCGTTAAACACTAAAGTGTAGTGGAACACGGTCCTGGCGAATTGTGTCTAGCCTAATGGAAAAAGACGTCAGTATTTATCAGATCTCATGTGCATGTGATCAGATGCGACAAGGCTCGAGGGCGTTACTCGATGGAGGTTGAACTGACGCTCTCGCACAAATTCTTAAGCAACAGTCCCTGCTAACATCTGCTAACGATGTTAGGCTGCAGTAGCGATACACTCCGCGACGAAGACTTAGATGCTGCCATGTAGTGCAATCCGCAAACTCCGCTCGCGGGTGCCCGCCAGGGCTAGGGTGACAGGGTAGACCCCTCACACCGCGCGCGTTAGTGCCCCCGAAGGCTGGGACTTCTCTCTGCCCGTCTCTCTCTTCCTCTCTCTCTCTCTCTGTCTCTCCCTCCCCGTCTGTCTGCCAAAACTCAAGACAGAAGATGCACACAGCAATTACTGCTGAAGTCGCAGATCCTTGAAACTTGTGGCGGTGTTTGAAGAACTCTGGACTCTCAGCTTCGGATTGATGCCCCTCTGGGTTCATCCTGCAGTGTTTGCCTGCCAGCCCGTTGCCATGACGAAATCGTCGATCAAGTCTTGCGAAGCCAGAGCAGAGTTGCTGTCGCAGTTCAGAATTTCCTGAGCGCAGTTGGCAAACGATCATGCTGTCGGATCAACTTTGGGTCAAGAACCAGAAACCACACGCCCTTGTGCATGGTTGGCGTCGAGTTCGAAGGAACATTAATTTTACATGTGCCTACGTTCGGCTGCAATTCGAGTGGTTGGTTTGGCATAATATAGTATCGTACAGTTTAGTATAGTATAGTTTAGTATAGTGCAGTATAGTGTTAGTATAGTATAGTACACTATAGTATGGTATAGTAAATACTATACGACGCGATACGATTAAATCATTACCACTACTATTACTATTGGGCCTACTTTTACTATTACTAGTACGATTGCAATTGCTATTGCCATTGCTATTACTATAACTATTACTATACTATTGTATGGTATGGTACAATATGGTATGGTATGGCATGGCTGCCATGGCACGATACGGTAGGGTATGGGATGGGATGGTATGGTACAGTACTAGGAGGAAGCTTCTGTCATCACAGTTCCGCCAGCAGCGTGACCACTCCATAGATTCCAAGCGGACATCTACGTTTGACCATCCTGGACCCGAAGGATGCTCGGACCACAGTTTTTGTGCTTGTCTCAGGAGCGAGTGCTTAGATGTGCCGCCCAGCGTCTGAATCATCGAAAGCTGAGAGCGGGCTGAAATACGGGGAGGGATCGGCCAGCCAGCTAGCATTCCTGCAGCGCCGTATCAGCAGACCGGTGAAAGTCGGCTAGAAGGCCGGCCCGCATCGCGCACACCGTCAGGAACTGACAACAAACATACACGTGTCCGAGTATGTCTTGACATCGCAATGCACCTAAATCTCAAACTCGGTACACCGTCCCTTTGTGTACACAAACTTCAACCACGGGGAAGAGTGATGTAGATGAGAGAACACGCAACAGAGAAAACCTTTTGCCAAACTTTGACAGCAGCTTGGCCACCGACAGAATGAATGCCAAAACTCACATTTTTAATTGTAGGATGGGTTTTCTGCCCTTGCTTTGGTTTTGTCATCTACGTGCAATCTCGCTCTTGCGATGCCTGCTTCCCCGACCTCGTCGCATGATATTGTGTACTCGCGTGCGGCAACTCAAGGCATAGAGTGTCTACTTCCGTCTAGGAGTCTAGAACTTTTTTGCTCAGTTTTGCTTCCACCCAATCTAAACTATAGATCTGCGGTGGTACACACAAAGACTGAAAAATCTAAGGCAGTCGGACTGACACCCATGTATGGGACACATGTATGATGGTTTGCCTATCATCCTCCCAACGATCTTCTTCGGCATCGTTTTGTCGCACCCCGGACATTTTGCGGTGGTGGCGAGTTGGATACAGGGGCGGTGGATAGGTAGGCGGCTAAACAGGGTGGGTGTGGGTGTGGAGGTGCGTGCGGGCGGGCGGGCGGGCGTGCTGTGCTGGGCGTGCTGTGCTGGGCGGGCGGGCGGGCGAACCGGGCGCTTGGAGGGGCGGGGTGTTCAGTAATCGAATACACGGTTTGGAAGATATATGCAACCAGTTTAAGTTGAGTTATAAGTTTGTTAACATGGGTTGTAAGTCCTGTACATATGCTATGTTGTATATACAAGACAGCAAGTCCGAAGCTTGAAATAACAAGTGGAGCAAGCAGTGGGGTCACTTAGCCAAAAGTAAAGTGCAACTTATCGGAAACACAAAGCAAGTATTTCAAGTAACTTGTCCTGCTTAGATAATTTTTATAACTGAGTTAAATAAGTGGTGTAAGTTGTTTATCTGAAGCTTTTCGTCCTGGTATCTGCAAGGATGCAAACTGAAATTGCATGAAGAGCGGCTGCAGCATGTGATCAAGATGCTTGCATACATGCATGACTGTGCATGCATTGCAGCAATCGCCTTGCAGGGCCGTCGGCTCGCAGGCAGAGTTTGAACTCAATCATCTATAGCTCGGAAAAGCTCGATTTGCCCCTGATGCCTTTGCATGCGGCAGTGCGAGATCGCTTGCAGGCTTTCTTGCGAGAGGCCTCGGAAGGCGAGGGCCTAGTCAGAGTCGTGGAGAACTGCTTGAAGTACCTGAAGTCCAAGCATCTCCTCACATCCATGAAGTTGGACGCGGACCTTGTGGGGATCCATCCGTGTAACCGAGACGGATATGGAGTCAATCCACAAAACGTCCGGGACCTTGTCGACTCGATAGTCGATGTCGGGTATGTGCCGACTCGTGTACATGCCGAAGGATTGGAAGTAGAAGGCGGAATGGGCCCGGGATTGGAACAGGAAGCTGTTCCAGTCGGCCAATGGGCTCCTTGGGAGCATCGAAGTGGATGCCATGAACATTACATCCATATGCGGATCCCATACCAACTGTGCACTTCGCCTCTTTCGCCAGGAGCTTCTCACGACAACGAGACGGTATCTGTGGGTGGACAGCTATCCATGGAACTTCTTCTTGCTCGGGATGCTTCGTTAGCTGCAGAGGGCCTTACGTGGGACGTGATTTCTGGAGCTGTGGCCGAAGAGTTCCGTGAGCTCATCAGCTTAATCTCGAGGTCCGGCAACAGAACATGAACTCCAGGTTTTCCGACGGATCCACAGCACATATTATCGCTTGCAGGCCTAGCCAGGCCAAGCGTTTTGTATCGCTGAAGAACTTGATCTAAGACATCTGTCGCTCGCTCTTTCTCTCTGCGAAAGGAAGGTGTATGTAAGAGAAAAGTTGACATTCCGCGATAGGGCTTTACAATTCAGGCACCGCTCGTTTCCTTACAACTCTTACAAATCAATGGCCCCCTCCAGCTTTCAACAACATGCCGAGGCATAATCAACAAAGAAAAGGCATAGATTGTTCTCGAAAACCTTCGGGAGGGATGCCCAATGGAAACTGAGCGGAGTTCTGGCCCTATCTCATGCACGAATTACGCAGCCCCATTGGGACAAAGAAGCGACGCCAAGTCCTGGGCGGGCAGGGCGGGCGAACCAAAAGCCTGAAGAGCAGCGATCTCGCAACGATGTCTTAAACTACGTTGAAACGATTTGTCAAAGACATCTGTCGCTCGCTCTTTCTCTCTGCGAAAGGAAGGTGTATGTAAGAGAAAAGTTGACATTCCGCGATAGGGCTTTACAATTCAGGCACCGCTCGTTTCCTTACAACTCTTACAAATCAATGGCCCCCTCCAGCTTTCAACAACATGCCGAGGCATAATCAACAAAGAAAAGGCATAGATTATTCTCGAAAACCTTCGGGAAGGATGCCCAATGGAAACTGAGCGGAGTTCTGGCCACGGCCCCTGGGGTTGCGAAGCGATCGCCCTTGCTGACTGTAAAGGGCGAAGAAACGTTGTAAAGGAGGCTCAGAGACCTGAAAATGCATTTGGGCCAAACGGGCGAGACCGTCTTGAATATAGATTCGAGCCGATCGTTCGGAGGCCCATCGCCCCATCAGGCGCAATGAATCCATGTTAGGGCTTTTGCGCCAATACATGGTTGCACCGCCCCTGCAAAGGCTATACGGGCGAAAAGCCCAGCTCGTGAGGCGGAGCGCCGAAAGAGCCTCATCAAAAGACTTACGAAAGGAGTATTCGGAGACAGGCACCAAAGAAGCGTGCGATTTGACTGAGTGCTTCCACCGATAAAGTCGTTCACAAACCGGGGAAATACTCGGAGAGTCACGGAGTCACTCGCACCAGACCGCTGGGAGGTTTTGGTAGCCCCAAGTGACAGCACCGCACAGTCGAAAGAGGGTGAAACCTCCACTTGATTCGCAGTGAGGTTCAAAAGCTCACCGGTCCGCAAAACGCCGTAAAAGGCCACCTCGAGAGCGAGTGCGAGGAAGGGCTTGTTGAGAAAAAGAAAATAACCGCAAAGGGCTTGCAGGACATCTTCTGGCAACGGTGGAGCTCGGCGCGGGATTTCTTTTCGCTGCCAAGTGCGAACGAGGCGCCAGGACAGCGCTAACTTCCCCCTAAGGAGGGGGCTGAGGTCCTGTAGCCCGGACAGCCCATCAGTGGCGAGTGAGAGGCTGTCCCCCTCCTCCCACAAGCCTTCGATGTAGTCTGCAAAAATGGAGTCCAGTGGTTCTGGTTCATCCGGTACGCGGATGCGTTGTGTTTATGCATACAAATAGAAAGCTGTCAGTGCTGCATCGTACCGCTGCCGTGTGCGTGTGGCGACTGTGTTTGCTCGCAAAGTTCCTAGCTGTTGCCGTTCCACCTTTCTTTCTTGCTTGGTTTGGGCGCCAAGATGGTCACTTTGCCCATTTAGGCTGTACGCGATGTCTCCTGCTTGGCCTGTCGGCCGGGTTGGTTTCGGTGGAGACATACGCAAGAAAAGGGTGGAGGCCGGCAGCTAGGAGTAGCGAGGACAGTCGGTACATGAGTGGTTGCAGCTTGCGTGAACTGGAACGTCCACGATTGATGACGTGTAGACTCACCATGTAGTCAGTCAAGTGGACGAATCTCACACGACACTCCTTGCGCCTCAAGACTCGCCATCGCAGCGCCGTGTACACTGCACGCATCTCGTACCTGTTGATATGGTCCGCCTCCCTGTCGGGCCATGGCCAACCAGTAATGGTTTTCCACGACCAGAGACGAGCCGGAATTGAGTTGTGGAAACGTTGAAAGTCACGGGGCTCCGTTCCGCTTTGAATCATGATGTCACTCCCTTTGCTAGAAAGCAAAGTCATTAACTTCGCAGCTAGAGCTTTGCCCGTGTTAGCACCAGGACAGCACTGTTTCGAGCGTAGCGAATGCCAACTCAAAAGGGCATCAGAAAAGACAGGCTTGTCACCGAACAAAGTTGAAAGGAGTTCTTGCAAACTCGAGAGCATACAGAGCTGAAAAGGTCTCAAAAGTTGTAAGAGAAGAAATCCCACGACGGCAACGCTCCAAGCGTTTCCAAGGAGATTGAGCCGCACATCCTCGAAACGAAGCACCTGGCTTCATTTTTGGGGAGACACCCAAGGGTAAACCCCACTGGAAAACCCATGGTCGTTCCCGCTCGACCACCGACGGAGTCCTGCCCCCAAGTTTGGGGTGCCAGACGAGATTTTCAGGCCGATACTGGTAAGGTGGAAAACGGTGGCGGTCACCTCGCCACCTGGTGAGTGATTCAGGGTCACATTTGTGAATCCCGGCTGGCTGGTGCCTGGGTTCATGGCTTGGCTCAGCAGTTGTAAAGGTTGCGAGCCGGCTCGGCTTCGGGCGGAGATTCCACCCAGGCTCAAGACATGATGAGGCGACATCCACTCGAGAACTTGACCTCGCCATGCCCCTGACGGTTCCCATCACGAGGTGGATGGAGTGCTACACCATCTTCCTGAACTAGGGTCCAGTCAACCCAGCACAATCGATCTCTTCTGCAAGGGGAGAGCTGAGAGGCGCAAATACGGTAAGGTATGACGTCAGCGTGGGTGGTCCACGACCATGCTGGAGAGACCTTCTTGGATCACATGTATGGGACACCAAAGAAAAGCCTCCTTCAACATCTCAACCACCGTTTTGACCAAGTGACAGGGGCGCGTGTTCTGAACTTTCTTGGTTGATTCCCGGCTTATCTTACACGGAGGCCCCGCTCCCACTAAAACCAGGCGCGCAAAGGAGGCTTGGGCAGCCCACTCACGACACATGTCAGGCGTAATATCTTCAACGCGATCGACCTGCAACGATGTGGCAACGACCCTCTTTCCACCAGGATCACACTCCACAGATACATGGAGCGA